TCTTTCACACTTCTCTTTAAAAACAACAACACACTGTAGTGGTGTAGCTCTGAGTAAGATGTGCCAACAGTGTTGGGCACAGAGCAGTTAGGGCTGGGTTTGAATATGCTCTGGTCTCTCTTGCCCCATTCCCACTCATGGACTGTCCGTGTGGATCAGTGACACTTGTTCAGGTTCCTCAGCTTCACATTTTCTTCCTAGATGGGCTTGGGTGGTTTTTGGCTTCATCTAAACTTAGAATTCCTAGGGGTGCATCGCTGGAGTGAATGGCGATTGCATTACGTGGAGTGTGTCATGTGAATAGTTGGTACGTGCTGTCACCTGCAAATTCTTGTTAGCAGGGTCTGTGTCTGGGAGTTTTTCTTTGAGGGTTGAGACATTTTTAAGTTTTAAAAATTGATTAAAAATGAGTGGAGGGAGTCCTAGCTATGAACTGTGAAGAGGAGGACTCGAGCGCCCTTACAGCTTTGAACCGCTGGTATCTTTCATAAATCCAGTTTTTAGAGCTGGAATTGCTCTCCATTCATCCAAACCATCATGAAACAACCAGACCCTGCAGCGTTTATTCAGCAGAGAATCCCCTCCAGTGTCCTCCCTCTCCTCGCTCCCGCACAGCCCTGCAAATCCCCCTCCCTCGTCGTGATCCCCTGCTCGCTCCCACTCCCACGCCACCCGCCCCAGTGCTTCCTTCTCTGCCTGTGGCTTGCTGGGTGCACCAGGCAGGGTGCAGACTGGCATTTGAAAAGAAATCCGGTGAATTAATGGGAACATATTGCTATTATTTCATATAATCACTTTATTTGTAAAGCACATGCTGTAAAGGTGCTCCTGCTGTTGAACTCAAAGCAACAAATCTATATATATATATCCCAGTCTATACTACATTATGAACAGATGGGTGAAGAAAAAAGAGCAATAAAAACAAGTAATAAGAAAGGTAACAATGATAGCAATTTTAAAACACTCCCAGGGAAAAAAAAAAAAAGTTGCTGAATTTTTTTAAAAGCAGTGTGAGATTGAATGAACTGAACTGCAAGTGCATCCATCCTCAAAGTTAGCATGTAAACATCTCCTGGCAGAAGAAGAATTGCTTTTTTTCTAAGTGGCTGCCTTTTTGCCTTGTTCCTGTTACAGAAGAGATCATAAGAAACCTGGTTGAGATGTCTGAGGTTTGGAAGCTTTTGGGGTTTTTTGCATTTTTTTGAGTTCCTGGGGAGACAGAGGCCACAGCAGGGAGGACAGTGCCTCCCTTGACCATCCAACAACCCAGAGAAACCACAATCCCATTGAACTCAATGGGAAATAACAGTCTTCTCAGAAGCATGTATTTGTTCACGTAACTTTCTCTGAACATTATTCTTCTGCCTCTGCTGAAGGAGGAAATGGTTATGAAGAATAGTAGAGAGAAATTACCATTAATCTCATAAAAAAGAAATTATTCAAATGTAGCCTTTACCCAGGACACCAGTAAGCTCAAAGTAGAGGGGAAATTTAAAACATTTACGTTACTCCGTTTCCAAGATCATAAAACACAAGAAAATGGTCTGGCACGGGATGCTGAATTTCTTAAGGAACTTGCTTTAATTAATTAAACTAGTAAACCAATTAATGGATTTACTTGTAAATTCTTAGAAAATTAATTCTGTGCCCAAAGAGTGTTTTAAATCTGCGAAGGAGGCAGTGTGTGTTTCATACAGAGCTTGAATTCCCATTTTAGATGAATCCAATTCAGCGCTGACTTTGGAGACACAAGCGATGCATTCATAATACTCGGACCTTCCTCTGAAACCGGCGCTTCCCATCAGCTGAATCCAGGGGGATCTGCAAAACAAAACCTGTGCTGCGTTCACAGCACCCGGCCCCTGTACTTGCTCCTAGCTATGTTACAGCCTTGCGCTGCGCCTCTGGCTTTACAGGGATTGTGGATGTACGTCCCTCCCTGTGCTTCCAACTGGTTTCTTCATCTGCCATCTCTGCCCTCTTCCCACTTAGGCTCTTTAACCTGACCCAGCGGTACATCGGATGCACGGAAAGCAAGTTGGGTAGCTCCAGTGAGCAGCGGATTAAAGCGCTGAACATCCTTTGGAGTTGCTGAAAAACAACCAAGCCAAAGTGGAGGAGATTTAAACAAAAGCTAATTTACTTTTCCACACAGAAACCTTGTTTAGATTCCCTGCCTGGCTCAGGGGTGACGGGGACATTCTCAGTACCTTGCGCTCTTCGCAATCCAAAGTGACACATACATGGAAAGTTCATAATCAAATGCGTCCAGGCTCCTGAGAACATGAAATCAAAAACAAGCAGGTTCCCCAGGGCTCTTGGCAGTTATCGCTTCCCTTCTCTCCTAGCAGGTACAGCCAGGTTTTTCCCTTCACGTGGCAATCCTCTGCTCTGGATCTTGGCATCCTTTGACTGGGGTGGGGGTCTGCCTTGCTCTTGCACACCCGGGGGGATGCTGGCTTTGCTCAGCACCACCCGCGCTGCCCTGCCTCGGCTCCGACAGGAAGCAGACCTGCAGAGCAATTAGGAACGGGAGCATTTTGAAGAGGAAAATGGCAGGGGAAAAAATTAGCATTTGCGCTGTGATGTTTTTGCTGTTTATTAATAAACAAGCTGCTTTCGTGCCTCCAGGGGCAGGAGAGGCTTCAAGCATTCCTTATTTCTCTTGCATTTAGCTTTTTTTTGCTTGTTTTATATGTTACAGGAGATTTGTAATGTCTTCCCACATGTTGAGTTTCCTTATTTTCATGAGAGCATCTCTGGAATAATTCCTCTGGAGCTCTCGGCTATGCGCTGCCGGGCTGATTTAAACATCCAGAAACACTTTAGAGATGCAGGGTGGATCAGCAGCTCATTGGGAAGGAGTTGCATTAATTAGGAACGGGTCTGCTTCCTCCTACAGAAGCAGAATGACTTCAGGGATAAGTGTTTTCATGGAGAGAAAGCCCTTGCATGTAGCTCCTGCTACCCGAGACCTGGGTGGTGATGGTGACAGCGACATGGGCACCTTGGTTCTGTGCTGGGGGCACAGCCTGGCCCCTGTGCAACCTCTTTCCAGGATGGTCAAACCCCTCATCTCCCCAGTGCCCCATTTGTCACTGGGGCAGGCTCATGCGGGGGTCCTGTGTGGGGATGCTGGAAATGCACAACTCGGTAACAGCCCAAGGACACCGTGTGCTGAACGCCTGCGCTGCAGCAGATAACGTGTCCTTGATTACAGGCAGATCCATGCCAAAGGAGGCTTCAGGGCGATGCCACTAGCTCTCCCTGCATCACGGGAGGTGAATTAAACCCCTGTTGTATTAATAAGCTTGTTCTTCTTTCCCCTCAGGCCTCCAGCTCCTCCGGTGGAAAAATGCAGCTTCTGGAAACGGAGTTCTCACGAACCATCCGGGAGCTCATTGAACTCCACCTGCTTCGTCAGGACAGCATCCCGGCCTTCCTCAGCGCCCTCACCCTCGACCTCTTCAGCCGCCAGACCATTGCTTAGCGTCCCACCGCCAGCCACCAGCCATGTGTGGAGCACTTCTGGGCAGGACACTTGAGGTAGCGAGGACAAATTCTCCCCTCCCACCCTTAATTTGTGGTATTGGGTTGCTTCTGTTTTGCAGGGAACAGCTTCTTCCCCCTTCTTTCATGCTGATTCCCAAACTGTACCAGTTCCTCTGAAAAGCATCATTTCCCTCCTGTGGGAGGGCAAATCTAGCTCCATCCCAGGGCTCTCCTGTGCCAAGACCCAATTCCTGCCTTTGAACTGGGAAATGTGTTCGTCACTGCCCAGACTGTCTCAGCATCTCTCTAGGAATAAGGTGGGAACTGCTGGTTTGAGCAGCCACAGCATCACTGTTCGCAGCTTTTCCCAAAAGGATCCCCCAAATCTGGGCCCCAGCAGAGAGATGAGCCTTGCGGGAGGCTGGTGCTTCCTACCCCTGTGGTTGTCCTCTCCTAATGGGAGCCAAGGGCTTGGTCCCTGAGGACAGGGACCTGGGGAAGGATCAGTCATGAGTAGCAGGTTCTTTGTGGATACCTCCTGCTCTTGCAAACGGCTTATCACTCAACAGGGTTGAAATTATTTTCAAGATATCCAGTTACCTGAGTCTGCCATCACTCAGCAGAAAAGCATGAGCATAAATGGCCATTTGAAGACCCTACACCCGTGTTGACACCTCTATGTTGTGTGGCGTGCTCAGATGTCGCTAGCATGTATTTTGTTCCTCACCGAGACTCTTGGGCTCTTGGTTATCTCGGGACTGCAGAAGGTGGGAGGGAGCCCTTTGTGGCGTGCTCACTGCTGCTAGGTTTAGCCTGGTACCTGCCACCAGGCTGTGGGTACCTCTTCACCTTCCTGGGGGTGTCCCTCCTCCTCTCCTCCTGAAGTCTGACATTTTGTGTTACAATGGATATAGCTCTTCTGTCGTAAGAATAAAGTGTCATTTCCCAAACTGGATGCATGAGTCCTTTATTTGGGATATACGCTGTGCTCCCCCTGTGCTCTCCCACATGTAAAGCATGATAACGAATCGTCCATCAATGGTCTGATGCTGGTACTGCTTTGAGAAGGGAGGACGTCATTATCTCAGTTTTCCCAGGCAAGTGTCATTCATGCTGTAAAACAGATTAGTTTGTTATGAACTTCTGTCTGTATTGATTTCCTCTTGGTATGAGCAGGAACATACTTCCTAAGCTCGGAGAGAAGGTAGCAGTAAGCAGGCTAGAAAGTTGGCTTAGATGCTCACAATGGCTGCAGGATTGGCCGTGCATGCTGAAGTCACTCTAGGACCTGTCGATGTGTCTACAGGCACAGAAAAATAGCTGCTATAGACCCAACTGATCAGAGGTGGAGGGACAAGTGTGTGCTCTGGGGAGGCTGCAGCCCCCATCTCCCCAGCCCTCCTCTCCGCAGGGTTTGCAGGAAAGTGCAATAGCAGAAGTTTGGCGTTTTCTCTTCTGCTTGAAGAAGTCCTGGTGGAAGATGAATTGCCTGACATGCTGTGCCAGGGGAACGCTGCCTGATTCATATGCGCGACGTGGCACTGAGAGTCGCCTTCCTCAGTCATGGGGAAAATGAATCATGACGTCAGCCGCATTCGGCTCCTCCGCCAACACAATAGCGGATCCTGGCTGCCTCTGAAAATTTTTCTCCTGGCTCCTTGCAGGAGAAATGAAGTAATTAATAAGTTTACAATAAACCCTCTATCTTAGCAAAACACGGGTGAGGCGAGAAGCGATGCTGGAGAGTGACAAGGGAAAACATGTTCTGCCCGTTGGAAAGTTGCCTCCCAAGAGTGAAAGGATAATAAGTTGGGGTAGAAAACAGTAGTCTTCTGAGACGTCTTCAGAGGGGAGGAGAGACAGATGAATTACCGCTCTGCACCCCGTTCTCCCAGTAAAACTGATTTGTTCAACTAAAGTTTAATGCGGCAGCACAGCTGGGAGAGGTGTGTCGTGAGGATGGGTGCTTGGCTAGATGTGCTGGCGTGGTGCAGCACCCGGTCCTGCTCATGGCTTGGGAAGCTGCTGGGGTGACTGTCCTGCTTTGGCCAGCAGCATCCTTGCCCTCCTCATGGTGTTACGCAGCGAGCAGGCTTGGGCACTATGTGAAACTGGGACTTTTGGGAAGTTTGGCTGCTCTAAGGTTCACTGATGGAGGCCTGGGAGCATTCATGTGGAAGTGTGACCACTGCAAAGCTACCTGGGCTACCTGTGGGACACGGGCTTGCGGTTGGGCATGGGGAAGAGGACCTGAGACTCCCCAGTTTATAGCTCCAACACAGAATTCGGGATGAAGCCCCAAACATATGGCTGTACCCTGCCACCACAGCAGCTCCTATCTCTGCTGCCATCATTATACTGCTCATCTCAGCCATGACGGAGCTGCGAGGAGTAACTGCGACGCTGAATTTCGCACGGATTGCTCCTTCCATGCCGAGCTACGTGGGGCTTGGCAGCCCATCGCGGGGCCCTGCCACTGTGTTCACCGGCCCCCGCATCCTCCCTCCATGGGTGCAGCCCCCCTGGGGCACTGCAAACAGAGACCCTGGTCACCAGTGATGGTACAGCAGGTTTCAACCACCCCAGGTGGTGGGGGCACAAGTCCCATCTGGCTTCGGCTCATCACTTGCAAAGCTCCAGCCCTGTTCACGGAAAATCCTTTTAGAAAATCTTGGGAGATCGGTAATAAATTTGCAGTTGGTTGGAGGGGAGAGGTGAGACTGTTAAGAAGTGTGTGTATGCTCGCTGGGTTTATAGTTTACAGCTATAAACTGTACAATATGATTTATTAATGCACTGCTGGGGGACTGTGTGTGTCAGCGCACTGTCTTGTTTGCAGCCTTGCTTGAAGCTTCCCTTCACTCAAACTGCTTGTGAGCCCCTGCTCCTCTGCTGATCAACCCTTTTCATCTGCGTGCATATATAAATACCGAACAGGGGCAAAGAGCTGTCAAGTACTGCCATATGGTCCTTGAAAGCAGCAGAGCTGTTGGCTAAGGCAGGTATTGCAAAGTTCATGCCTCTTCTAAGGTTGCCTCTCTGAACCTGGAGCCTTTTGCTCCCGTTTTGTGTCTCCTGGCTCTTGGCATCATTGCGTGTTGTTTGCATGAGCCTCAGAGTTGTCCTGGAAGTACGTGATGCCTGACAAGGAACAAGGGAAACCCTTTTTGGATGAGCCATGAGAAGCTTGGGGTTCGTAGACGTTAGTTACGGATCTTCTCCAGGTAACGCTATAGGAAGAAGGGAAGGAGAACGGGGAAGAGCATGAAGCTGCAGTAGAGGTTGGTACCTAGGGAGCAAAGGGCAGGAGTGGAACTGGGGATGATGGAGAGGCAGAAACAGGGCGCTGGATGAAAAGGGAAGCCACAGTTCCTAAACTAAAGAAAGAAAAGCCGTCTTCTCCCGCTGGCCAACTGATGCTGTCTGCAAAGGCTGTGTGGCAGCCTGGGCCTGGGCTCTCCCCACTTCAGGGGCTGGAAAGTCTCTGATTTTCCCTCACGCCTCTGGCCACAGCGGGGGTCTGGCTGGAGACCCCCTCCTCTCCCCTTCCCTCTGCGTGGAGCAACAGCCGCTGCCTCACAGCAGGGATCACAGCCCTCCCGGGGGTGTGCAGCAGTGTCGTACAGGGGCTGTTGCCTTGCACTCTCCCACAAGCTCCCAGGGTTTTTCCCAGCTCCCTAAGGGCAGAGAGGTCTTTCCCTCCCCACAGCTCCTTGTGAAGTGCTTTTTCCCTTCTGCCTCTCCCAGCACAGATGGGGTTGGTTATTGGGGGTGGCTGATGGAGCCGCTGTCTGGGCAGCCCTGGGTGCCAGGTGGGCAGGAGAGCCTTGATGGAGGGGGATGAGCATCCCCAAATACCTCCTCCTACTGCTGCTGGGTTGGGACAAGAGCTTCAACGGCTTGTGAGGATGCAGAAAGGATTGGGGTATGGAAAGCAATGGGGCAGGAGCAATCCCACCCCTGGCTTTTGGATTTTCTGCCTGTCCTGGGACAAGCCAGCAAGGCCCTTCTGCACCGTGGGCTCTGTAAAATGGGACTATCGCTTCCCAGTCATGGCCTCCCAACACCGGCCAGCAGTGAAGGTTATTTGACCCCAAATACAGCCCTACAGGGAGCCCGGATGGATGGCAGCATCCCACCGGGGCTCATGATGGATGGGGGTCGGACACAGCATCCCACAGCTGCGGCGCCAGCATTGCTGTCGCTTCTCCATCGCTCCCCTCCGCTTGCTGCAACACGCCGAAGAAACTGGGAACAGCAGCCGCCCTTTTCATTTTCTGACCCCAGCAGTGGGCTGAGAGACAGCCAAGAATGGTGTGAGTTGGGCTGACGGGTGGACGTGTCAAAATAACCCTCAGGGGACAGAGGCAAAAGCCTTCCTAGGACATCACCAAGGTAATGCCGGACCCCAGCAGCCAATGCTGCTCGGCGTGGGAGATGACGCAGCCAGGGCAGGTTGGGTTCTGTTCTTACAGCTTTTAGCTGTTCGAAGACATTGGGAAAACGATGACAGCGTCAGATGGCAGGTGACCGTAGCTAATGATGGCACGTTCTTGACGAGGCAAGTGTAGTAGCTGGGGAGGACAGAAAAGGCTTTCTGCGCTGGTGTAAATCACATTCGCGCTGCCTGCTGTGACAGCAGATTCGGATTTAATAGCAGCGATGCTAAAAGTTGCATGATATTTAAAAGGTACAAAACGAGCCCACTCTGATCAGTGGAGGGATATTAAATAAATAAATAAATAAAAAATCAGCAAAGCTTTTTCACGAAGTCTTTTTTAAATATTAAAATCCCATCCTTCCCAACAGGAAAGCTTTTTTCAGGCTAAGAGGAGTGACTGAACGGCATCTGATGATATCGCATTGACACAAGTGTCTAGAAAAATAGGGTAGGAATGTATGATCTGTTCTGAAAAAGGAACCCTAGCTAATAGGAAATATGCTGATGCTACTTTTAATTTCATGACTCAGGTTCGCTGCAAAATTGATGGGAATCTG